TTTGCTGCTTTGCCCGACGCGATTTGGCGACTTGAGGATTCTTCAAACAGCATTCGCCTGAACACCCAGCATCAGCCTCGACACATTCACCTGCGTCCAATTTTGACTTCAGCTCCTCTCGGAAAATGAGTGTCCAAGACGACCCTACTTCTTATATTATCTGATGATGCTTCGGAAAGGAGTCACAGGCACAAAAACAGTAGGCAAACCCATGAGATAGTATGGCCGCGTCAAATAAGAATCAAACTAGCCGTGTAGCACTTAAAAGTCAAATTATAGGTTCTATTTTGAATACCATCTTCCGTTTAAAGTTTACAACTCCTACAAACAAGAAACTATTAGTCATCACCACATCTCACTTGGCTGAGGGTTTCGCGGATGTTGCACCCAGCGGAGAGTGTCCAACGTTACACGATCGGGTCTTCTTCCACCATCCAATGGAACAAGAAAAATAGGGACATCTCCTGTTGGGCGTAAACTATATTATTGAAATTTCAATACAAGTGGTTTCAGCTTCTTTGCTCTGTAGGTGAATTTTTGCTTGGAGATTTTCTCTGTCCAAGCTGCCGTAATTTTGTAGTGAAAGACGGACCCACAGAGCTCAATATCTCCACCAATACCTCCGCCGGTGAAGATGTGTAGGTAATAAAACCAAAATATCTGTTGGTGAATTTCATCGAGGGCTTCGAACTCATTTATGAGGTCGTTGCGTCTTGCTTGGATAATAGCATCATCGCCATTATGTGCCCCAGCTTTGTCAATTTCCATCAGATCCATTGTTCAATATCCGGTTACTTGCTCTGTGGACTCAGATGGCAGTCGATACGAAGGTCACAGTGTAAATAACTTCTTTGAAGAAATGGGCATTTCTCATTGGAATGAGAGGCGAGTGGACAACTCCAACTTCCATTCATTCACATACTCCGATGTTTTCATCACAATGATGAACTGGTACACGTGTACGGGTACGCAGGTTTCGTCCCGCGTCGAAGACATGCAAGCCCGCGTTAAATTGACGCAACTCGCGTCAATCCCGCGTCAAAAGAAACGTCCCGCGTCAAAGACGCAGAGCATTTTAACGGACACGTTCAAATTATTTAGCTTTTTAAAAAAATCTCAAAACAATCTAAACGGACAGATTTCGGGCGTGCGTTTGACGTTGTGGTGCGTCCCTGTGAGGATTCTTCTCATTTCATGACTGACTCGTAGGATTAGATTCCAGAGTGGACCCTCAGCAACTCGTCTGTCTGTCGTCCAATTTCCACGGGGGGAAGCACTTTTCTTGGCTCATATTCACGTAAAAATGTCAGTACGCGCCAGCCGAATACTTCTTCGATCGCCAGCCAGTACGTGTCACGGAGACGACCATATCATGAAACCGAACGCCCGCGCGAAGCGGGCGTTACGGATTAAGAAAATCTTTCAACGACAATTCGCGGTTAATTAACTGCGAATTGAAAAATTCGCGGTAAATTTAACAGCGAATTCTAAAATCGCGGTAGATTTAACAGCGAATTTTTCAATTCGCGGTTATTTCGTTAAAATGCGCTGCTAGTCAGCCAAAACAGATCAATTACTGGAACACCCAGCAGATCGATGACTTTAGAATTCCTTGTGGTTTCTTATCGCTGAAACGGCCCATAGAACAGGCCCAAGGTATTGGGACTGTAAAAGCTCCTTCGGTTGGGTACAGAACTAGACCTTAGTCCAAAGGTCCACGTAAGCACTTTGAAGTGCATCTCTATAGACATCCACAATTTTCACTGTGACTCTTCTGTGAAGGTTGGGTTACTATTCGAATAGCCAAAGGCTTTTACTGAAGAGATACACTCTGCAGAGTGGCAGCAAACTATTGCTATTGCATTTGTTTGACTTTGTTGCATCTTGATTGAAGCGTTTGAAGTGAAAATACATCACTATGACTTCTCTTGCAACTGACTCACCATTTACCTAGTTGAAAACGATAGGGACGTTCTCACTGAGATTGTATTCCATCTTCCTGGCGCAGATGGTGGCAAACGCAAAGCCAAGGTTCCCCTTTACCTTGGAAAAGGCAGCAATTTGGAACCTTTTTGCAGGATGTACATCTCATTCAAGAATCTCTGCTCTCAATGGGAGATCACTGGTAACGGAGCTGGTATTGCCAACCTCCAGTTCTCGCTCTTTCGACTACATCTGGGCGGTCAAGCCTTGAACGAATGGAATGTGATTGAAACCAGCGTGACCCATCGCACTGCCGCGCAATTCAAGAATTCTGTTGACGATTTTATCACGAAGATGTCAGCTGGCGCAAATCCAAGGAACAGCGCAAGCCGTTTTCTGAAGTCAATCGCCTGCAGGAATTCTATGAAAACTGATGTGTCCAGACACATTAGGCGACTTGAACTATTGTGCTTCTATCATGACATGCTTCCCAGAACATCTCAGAAGCTATGTGAAAATGATGATATTTCTGTCTTGACCAAGAAAGAAATAATTTTCCACTCGTTTCCTGCAAAGTGGCAGGATACTTTCCGTCAACAAAAAGGAACGATTGAAGATCCCAACATCACCTTACAAATGGTCGAAACTTATATGCAAGCTACCAAGATCTTGTCCGACAATGTCCAAATCTCAAAACAGCATGCTCGTGAAAAGCCTCAACGCACTGGTGGTTACACACAGCATTCTCGTCGAGGACGTGGACGTGGACGCGGAAGTTACGGTAATCGTCAAACCACTTCCAATCCACCCTATCCAAGCTATCAAAATGAAGGAACTCAGAATCAAGGATATCGCTATCCTCCAAGATCTCAAGGCAACTATCAAGGACGATCTTCTGGAGCCAGTTCTCAAACCCAAGGACGCTTTGGGCAACGAAACCATCAAACAAATCGACCTCCGAAACCCTCAAAACCATCATTATGCTGAATCGCATTACAATCAAGACGGAAGTCAAGCCGAAGGCTCAGTTCCTGCTGGAACGTATTACAACGATCAGGAAGCGGAATGCTTCGTTCCGGTTGGAACTGTCCCCAAAGTGGGCCAAGGCGGAATGCCTTCTGCCGAAGAGCAGCATGATCAATATTTCGTACAAGGCCAATTCGTCCAACCTCGTGAACAACAAGAAATGTATCCTCCTCCTGAAGACTCGTATCCTCCAAATGACTTGTATCCTCCAACGGATGATCAAGGCTATTATCCATACAATGATGCCTCTGAACATTACCATTACTACGATGAAGCTCATTGACCTTCACTCCAAAACAATACTCGTTCATAATCTAACCGTCTAATCAATCCTTTCCTTGAACCAAATCTTTCATCTTTTGCTACCGCATCGACCCCTGATCAAGGTCCGATGACGCAAGAAGAAAAACACTTTCTTTTGAATGACTCTTTCATTTG